GATCGGTCTCGCATCTCCTGACCTCGTGCATCTGCCCCCTCGGGGCCTCCGCAAAGTTGCTGGGATTTACAGCGTGAGCTACCGCACCGGCCTCTAGTTTTTTTTTTTTTTTTTTTTTTTGAGACGGAGTCTCGCGCATGTGGTCCCCATGGCTGGGTGCAAGTTGGCGGATCTCGGCTCACTGCAAGCTTCCGCCTCCCAGGTTCACGCCATTCTCCTGCCTCGCCTCCGGTGTTAGCTGGGACTACAGGCGAACCCGCCCCACCGCCGGCTTGAGTTTTTTGTATTTTTAGTTTAGAGACGGGTTTCACCATGTTAGCCAGGATGGTCTCGATCTCCTGACCTCGTGATCCACCCGCCTCGGCCTCCCAAAGTGCTGGGATTACAGGCTTGAGCCACCGCGCCCGGCCAGCCTCTAGTTTTTTAAATAATAAAAAAGCATTCTTGTGTAACCAAAACACATACTAATCAGGGAAACAGATGATTGCTTAAAGAAATTCACCCTGTTCCCTGTGAGGCCCTTAAGGGACTCATCGCGCATCTGCCGGCCCAGGGCTCAGCATCAGAATTCTTCTTTCCTAAGGGGAGGTGCAGGAGCGGAGGGGACAGGAGGGTCCAGGGGCGCGGCTGTATCCTGTCTTTTGTGACTCCCTCTCTCCAAGCCAAGGTCCCCTGAGGACCTTGTTCCTTGCCGTTCCCGCTGAAAGATTTGAGGGGAGGAAGCAGCTTTCACGGCATCCTTGTCCTGTCCTGACCTGTCTCCCACCAGCAGAAGCAGCTCCAGATGGAGAAGAGGCCAAGCCGGCCCTTGGAGGCTGAGATTGCATCCCTCACCCGAGCTGGACACCCCTCCTTCAGGCCAGGCCCCAGGCCTCAGCTCTACGGGTGGGGCCCCAGGGTTCCCAGAGCTCCCACTGCTGCCAGATTTCACAGCTGGGCTGCTGGCGAGAAAAACTTTTTTTTTTTTTTGAGATGGAGTTTTGCTCCTCTTGCCCAGGCTGGAGTGCAAAGGAGAGATCTTGGCTCACTGCAATCTCGGCCTCCCGGGTTCAAGTGATTCTCTTGCCTCAGCCTCCTGAATAGCTGGGATTACAGGCATTAGCCACCACGCCGGTTAATTTATGTATTTTTAGTAGAGGTAGGGTTTCACCATGTTCGTCAGGCTGGTCTCAAACTCCTGACCTCAGGTGATCTGCCTGCTTCGGCCTCCCAAAGTGCTGGGATTACAGGTGTGAGCCACCGCGCCCAGTTAACAGAAACTTTCTTCAGATCCCAGTAAACCCAAGGCTCTCCTGTTGCAAGCTGGGCCCTCCTCTCCAAGGGCCAGGTTATTAAATGCGGCAAATGGGGACCCGGAGCTGCACTGC